CATTATCACAACATTACATTGTCTCAATGCGCTTTACATTTCTGCCTCGTAAGGACCCCCCATTGAGTAAGCCAAAGGCAACGGTGGCAAGGAAAAACTCCCTAAGAGGAAGAAACCTTGGGAGGAACCAGACCCAAAGGGGCAACTACCCTCCAACCTGCCTGCCCTTAGCTCAACGCAATGCCTCGCCATCCTTCCCTGTGGCTGTGCCTCTATTATGCATCAAGCACCCCATGCCTGCCGGCCCCTGGAGGATGGGCTCCCCCTTTGGGTCTGGTTCCTCCCAAGGTTTCTTCCTCTTAGGGAGTTTTTCCTTGCCACCGTTGCCTTTGGCTTACTCAATGGGGGGTCCTTACGAGGCAGAAATGTAAAGCGCATTGAGACAATGTAATGTTGTGATAATGCGCTATATAAATAAAATTGAATTGAAATCATGAAAGTCAGAGTCCGCTCAGCCTGGAGAATGTGCTCAAGGACATGAATGCTCAATAAAAGAGTGAGGATCCACTCTCTCTGAGTCACTGAGGTCCCGGGTGGGCGGGGGTCAGTCTGAAGGAGCCTCAGGATTGGCTGAATGGCCACCGCTTTCTCCAGCTGTACATTCGTGGGCCTGTTGAAGACTTTTGTGTGCATATTGGCAAAGAGAGATGAGCTGTGGTTAGAGGCACCTGATGTTGGTAATTTTTAAGGATTTGTAGGATTATTCCTGCAACCAGTAACAGGGCCAAGGATGCGCAAAGACCCATCCACTGGGTTGATGCCGAGTTGCATCATTACAGAATAAACTTTCCTAAAACGTGAGTGACATCAGTTACCCAGCAAGAGTGCTAGCCATCTGGCCTGCTGGCTAATTATTTTAGCTCATCCGTTAGCCTGTTTGTTGAATTCCTTGAGGGTAGCTGATTCGATTTTGGAACATATATCCACATTTACAGTTTAGTTTTATATTTCAAACAATAACAAATAAGGATGTTCCCGTTGTCCTGATCCACTTTCTTGGTACCCCAGTCCGATCCATTCAGTATATATCTGCCGATTTAATCTGACATTTTAATAAATCTTGATGGTGCGTTCGATTATCTGTTGGAACTCGGAAATTCCGAGTTGAGTGACGTCACGTCCGACAATCTCCCGTTCGAGCTACCGCATCTCGGAACAAACATGGCTGCCTCCATGAACACGCTGCTGTGTGTTGCTGCTTTATATTTTAGCAGATTTGGAGTGAGATTTATTTTTTTTCTGAGAGACAAACAAACAAGAAACACGAACTAGTCAAACCACATTAAAAGCTTTATAAAACATTTTAGTACATTCATAGCGATATTCTTTTTCGAGAGGCAAACAAACTACAAACAAACAAAATATGCTAACAGGTCTGGTAAAAATCTGATGCATGCTAGGATACTGTTTACGGTCATGATATGGTATTTTCTAAATCAAACACGTGCAATTACATGTATAACTATTAATACATTTAACAAAATAAACATTTTTAAATCTTTATAAAATAGAATTACTGTTGACTGTGTAAGTCGCCATGTTGAAATGACGTCTCAGGGGAAACTCGGACAACAAAATTCTGTCCAACATCATCGTCATAAGAGGCGTATTTCCGACGGGAAGTGACAGTTTTCGTGATGTTGTCATCCGAGTTCCGACTCGGAGAGAGATAATCGAACGCAGGATGAAATATACATACAGGAGGCATCGGAACATTCTTCATTTGAGGAAGCCTTGCGATTTCACAGTATTCTTCCTTATGATGTTTCTGCATTTGTCTAATTGGATTTGTTGTATTAAATTACATCAAATAAACTTCTTGTCTTCCCTGCTGTGCTCCATGACATCGCTGTTCACCTTGGATCATCCACACTGTCTCCATCAAGGTCCTCCAGGTTCTTAGGCGTGATCATAGATGACCAGCTATCCTCTGCTGAGCATATAGCTTCTGTCTCTCAGTCTTGCAGATTCACCCTGTGCAACATCAGGAAGATCAGACTTTTTCTGTCTCACTATGTAGCTCAGCTTCTAGTCCAGACACTTCTTATCTCGTGACTAGACTACTACGGCTCTCTACTGGCCGGTCCACCTGCTTGTGCTATCAGACCAATGCAGATGATTGAAGATGCTGCAGTACATCTGATATTCATTCAGCCCAAGCGTTCTCCTGTCACATTCCTCCCTGTCTCTCTTCATTGACTCCCTATTGGTGCTCGCATCAAGTTTTAGCCCTTGGTGCTGGCTTACAGGTCCATTAATGGACAGGAACCCATCAAAAGGTCCCTCACAACCCGTGTCCCATCTCGTTCTTTTGGCCGGAAAACCATCTCCGTTTGGGGTTCCCCTGCCTCACGTGTGAAGTGTCACTCCACATGGTTCTCTTGTGTGGTTCCCCGATAGTGAAACGAGCTACCAAACCATGTATGCTCTACCTTCAAGAAATGCCTTAAAGACTTGCGTGTTTCATGAATTCCTCTCCAATCCTGATTGTTCTTTGAATGCTCTTATGTTGCATTTGCACGCCCTGGCATACTCTTACTTTAATAGTTGTATGTTTAGTTGTGTAGCGGTTGGGGAGCCCCTGACCCAGTACTGCTTCCACTTGTACTTGGGCTTGCAGTGAAGTTCGGGTACCTGCACGTATGCCTAGTGAACTCCGTTACAGGATGAATGTTTGCTGTGTGCTATTTGCCCCTCTTTATGTCGCTTTGGACAGAAGCGTCCGCTCAGTATGGAAAATGTAAGCAGCACTCCGTCGCTACCGCCTCTCGGAAGGGGGCTGTCACTAAGATTAATACAGTTTCATTGAAAACAACACCCCCTCCCCCCATTTAGGAGGAATAGGTTTAAACCTATTGATTTTTTTCATGTAGTGATCAATTTTGGAGTTAATTTGTGTTATTTCAGTGCTGTTACTAGTGAATAGTAGGCAGAAAGTCAGAAATTAAAGCGTCAGTGATCTGGGGTACCTGTTATTAAATCTGCTCACTCCCAGGAGAATAACTTGTGCCACATGTTTAATCCTGGCAGTGGAGGGCGGAGCTTGTTTGCCAGCGCCCTGCCGTGGGCCTGGTCATGCTCTGTCCCACGTTAAGTCCTCCTACGACCACCCCCCCTTTTAGAAGAGGGCCACCAGGCACAGTAATAGAAGGGCTACCGTCACCCACAATGCATCTGATCTTGAGATGGAGCTGGCCTGCATCCGCATTCGACGCTGGAAGCCGCCGTGACGCCTGTCGTCGTCTGTTGCAGAGCTGCGCTGTGGCACTGACCAGTTCCTGTGCCGCAGTGGGAAGCTGCAGTGCATCCCCGCGTCCTGGAGATGCGATGGCTGGGCCGCCTGCGAAGACCGGAGCGACGAGCTGGACTGTCCTCGTAAGTCGTCCCACCCCCCACCATGCCGCAAATGTACTTCTTTTTACCGCAGTCTCAATATAACATGAAATGATGATGACGTCAAACCTAAAGTGTATGATTTGCTAACTGAAGCATTTTCTACAGTAACACAATAGTCTGGCTGCAAGCAGTCCTTTAATGCAGCACGATAAACGAGGTCATCGCTACCATGGCTACGGGGTCGCGTATCCAATGGCTCATACCGCAGAGGCTGAGATTCACCAATAGTGAGCAGCGGTTTAGATTTGCCCCGCCCCTTTCATTTTATCCCATTGGTGGATTGATGCTCTGGGCCCTGATCTGTTAACATGGAGCACTGCCATGGATTGTTTTTCATTACTGCTTCTGCAGGTCTCTTGTCTGTGAGGAAGATATTCCTGTTGAAGGCTTTTCCCTTTTTAAATCCTGGCGTCTGGGGTTCGGAGGAATGTGCCTTTTTCTTGGGGCGAGTAATCAGGATGAAAAAGGAATTCTGTGATAAATGTCGTCGCCCCGGTTTGGGTTTGGGTGTTTGGCAGAGGAAGCTAGGAGGCCGTCTGACGTTCTCAGGTAGCAGAAGGAAGCCAGGAACTTGGGGGTTGGAGGCTGAACCTCTTTGGTCCTCAGCTCAGCTCCCAACCCCCCAAGGCAACTATGGATCCGTCTAATCAAGGGAATCGGTCTTGGCGGTTTGCAGAGTTCGGGGGGGGGGGAGGCTACAGGAAATGCCATTGTTCCCACTTCCCACATCATCTGGCTGAGAGTACACATCCCACGCTCGTCCACCCAAGCTTTTGGGGGGGGGGGGGGGGGTTCCCAACTGCGTAGAGTTCTCCTGTCTGACTCTGATGGTGAAGCCTTTGTCCCACACTCATCCACAAATATCCCCCCCCTTTTCTTAAAAAAGATGTATTGGGTTGCTGATGGCGACAGCTGTTGAGGTTGACTTGAGCTTGGCCTTCTGTTGAGTTGTCGTAATTGTCATAGCAGTTCAGACGTCCTCCTGTGTTTGGAAGCATCTCCTTTTCAGAGCACCTTCTGTGTAGGATTAGGACCTGGATTAGGATCTGTACCAAACACTGACACTGATAAAAGGAGCATTGGAAATATGTTTTTTTTTTTCTTTACCGCTGTTAGGACTACATCACATGTCACATGACCTGCGTTTGTTTCTTCCCTGTCGCTCTGCGCTGGTCTCCCCACAACAGCCACCCGTGAGGAGAGATTCCGCTACGGCAACGGCTTCGACCCGCTGGAGGATGTGGTGGGCGTGGCCCAGCCCATGCGCTTCAACAGTAAGACCCGCCCCCTTCCCCACCCCTCTTTTCTCAGCGATTAGCTGCCTCCGTCGGTTCCTGGGTCGCGGTCAGCCTGAGGCAGGACAGCCTGACACTCTAAAAAAAAAAAAAAGTGGTTAATCAGCTGTGGCAGCTGTAGGGTAGCTGCAGGGGGTCTGTAGGGTAGCTGCAGGGGGTCTGCAGGGGGTCTGTAGGGTAGCTGCAGGGGGTCTGTAGGAACATTTTGCAAAGTGACAAAATGGCAGGATTTTTGCCTTGTTTACACAATGTGAAAAATATTACAGTCCCCACCCTTGCTGGTTTAAATCTGTAAACCCCTGGCCTGTAATACTTATACTAAAGAATATCAAGAATATATAGTAAGCTTTTAAGGAATATGTTGGCAAATGGGGTGATAGATGCTCGCAGTGTTAACTCCTCCCCTGCCACCCCCACAGAGAAGTGTCCCAGTGGTTGGCACCACTATGAACGGACTGCCAGCTGCTACAGGGTGTACCTGAGGAACGAGAACTACTGGCAGGCGGTGGAGACGTGCCAGAGGGTCAACGGCTCCCTGGCCACCTTCGTCACCGATGAGGAGCTGCAGTTCATCCTGAGGATCGAGGTCGACTTCGACGAGAAAGTGTGCGAGCGCAGGGACCAGTGCAAGTGAGTGGGAGGCGTTCCTGTTCCTGTTCCCATTTTGGGGACGACCTGACCGTCTGCTGGTCCCTCACTTCCTGTTTACCCTGAAACTCCATGCATCACATGTTTAAGCCACGCTTCTCAAACAGACGATGAACATAGGAACATAAGAAATTTACAAACAAGAGGAAGCCGTTCGGCCCATCAAGCTCGTTTTGAGGAGAACTCGACAGAGTTGCTGTATGAAAAAACAAAAACGTTTCTTCCTAGAGCTACTGTCCTGGTTGGTACTGCCAACCAGGATCAGGATCAGTTTTCTCTCGTCCAGACATAATCCTTGTTTAGTTTCCTCTCCTCCAGGTGCTACAGTCAGTCTAACTTTCCTCTGCATCCTCGTCTGCAGTTTGTTCGGTTTGTTGTTGTTTTGGTTTTGTCACTGTAGCCTTGTGTGCCGGGTGTTTATGTAACACTGTGCTGTGGTCCCTGGCACAGGTTCTGGGTGGGCTACCAGTACGTCGTCACCAACCAGAACCATTCCCTGGAGGGACATTGGGAAGTGGCTTATAAAGGTTAGTGTCTCGCTGGGTTGGGGGTTCCAGTGATTCCTTGATGTCTAATCACACCATGCTTAATGCTGACTGTGCACTGTCTCCCTATCAGGGTCCATGCAGGTTTTCCTGCCACCGGAGGGCCTGACAACCTTCGGGGAGGGCAAGTTAACCAAGGACAGCATCTTCTGTGCCCAGCTGCAGCGTTTCCAGATCAAGACCATGAGCGAGAGGGGTCTTCACAGCTGGCATGCCGAGGACTGCTACAAGAAATTCCCCTTCCTCTGCAAGAGGAGTAGGTCCTCCGTCGGGATCTCCCGGGCTTTCTGGAGTTCTTCGTTTTTCTTGGGGTTGTTTGGAGTTATTTTGGGGCATCTGGCACTCATATCGTACCCGTACCGCTTTGCAGATAAGTTCGTTCAGGACTAAACATCTGTCTCGTGGTTTTTCAGTTTATGGGGTTGGTTTGGGGGTGTCAGCATAGGAAGGCAATGACGGTGGCTCCCTCACCCCCCAGGACAGACCTGTGTGGACATCAAGGACAACGTGGTGGGCGAGGGCTACTACTTCACGCCCAAGGGGGACGACCCGTGCCTGAGCTGCACGTGCCACGACGGCGAGCCGGAGATGTGCGTGGCGGCGCTTTGCGAGCGGCCAGCGGGGTGCCAGCACCTCCTCAGGGACCCGCGGGAGTGCTGCAAGTTCACCTGTCTGGACACGGGTACGAGAGCCCAGCCCGAGCCTCCTCCATGTTCACCTGGGTTCCTCCCACAGCCGGAAATTGTGCAGTGTAGCTGAACTGGCACCTCAGAATTGTCCATAGTGTGTGTGTGTGTGTGTGTGTGTGTGTGTGTGTGTGTGTGTCTTGTGCTGTACTCACATCCCATTTAGGGTGCTTTCTGGAAAAGGCTGTAGGCTCCCCATGACGCTGTCTTGGAATAAGTGGATGGATGGATGGATGGATATCTTTAACTGCTGCTAGTGGATTAACGCACGGCTGGTAAACTGCATCGTAAATTGGCGATACTTAGTTGTCGATGTTTTACCAGTAAGTCAGGAAGCACTGAAATGGCCCTTCTTGGTCGACCGTTCGGTCCAGGGGCCGCGTCCAGCGCCTGCCCGCTGTCGGGGGCGTGGAAAGCGGAAGCTGTCTCGGCGCGATGAAAAACCACTTAGCAGCTGTCGTTCGCAATCAAGGGCGAGCAGGAAGTGGCTGCAGTTTTACAAGCAGATATTTCCTCCTGCTTGGCACATTCGCAGCAGCAACAGGTTGCGTAACGTGATGGTGTGAGCGCATTCGGCCCAGAGGCCGGGGTGCAGTGTTACACATACACATAGTTAAGGGGGGGGGGGGGGGAGGCCTGTCACATTAACAGGCTCCCTGTTGCCAGGCGGATGATTGGTTGGGAAGTTTGATACTGTGTTTTATGGTCTTTGCAGTATTTTTTTTTGTGAATGTTATGAATGCTTGGAATGTTTAATATTCTGCTATTTTTTAGATTTCTGGTTTTTTCCCCATTTATCTGAATATCTGCTTTAATGATATGCAAATGGTGTGAGTAAATGTAGCGCAGAATGAAATGCTTTCCATACCTACGATGGGAATTTGTTTTTCTGTGAGGTTAAAGTCTGTTTTTCTGCAGTGCTGCCACTAGCTGCTCCCATTCCCCAGCTCTGCTCTTGGTGCTTATTTACGTTCATTTATTTATTAGGAGGCACTTGTGTCCAAAGCAATGTACAAGTGAGAATCAGAGGGGAGGGTCACTGCAGCAAATGGAGTTGAGGGTCTTGTTCAAGGACTCGCCAACTAAATCGCTCTGCCAGCCGTGGGATTTGAACCGACAACTTTCCAAATCAGAATCCTAACCCACAGAACAGCGGAGCAAGGTCTAATGTCCCTGGGAAACTTTTTGTTGGCCTACCTGTGTTGGCCTACCTGTGTTGGCCTACCTGTGTTGGCCTACCTGTGTTGGCCTACCTGTGTTGGCCTACCTGTGTTGGCCTGCCTGTGTTGTCCAGCGAGCCAGAATTAGTCTGGGAACAATTTGCTGAAGCTGCCCTTGTCTCTCCTCTGCCGCAGACGGCACCAGCCTCTTTGACTCCATGGCCAGCGGCATGCGCCTGATTGTCAGCTGCATCTCGTCCTTCCTCATCCTCTCCCTGCTGCTCTTCATGGTGCATCGCCTGCGGCAGCGGAGACGCCAGCGCATCGAAACGCTCGTCGGCGGCAACCGTAAGCCCACGAGCCGCCCCGGTCTGTGTTCGGCGTGCTCGTCTTCCTGCGGTTCAGCATTCACTGAAAGGCGTTCTCTGTGTCGCATGCCCAGTCCATCACTTCAACCTGGGTCGCCGAGTCCCCGGGTTCGATTACGGCCCCGATGTCTTCGGCACCGGTCTCACACCCTTGCACCTGTCTGACGACGGAGAGGGGGGCGCCTTCCACTTCCAGGAGCCCCCACCTCCCTATGCGGCATACAAGTACCCAGACACCCAGCACCCTGACGACCCCCCGCCCCCATATGAGGACTCCATCAACCCGGACAGCCTCCTCTACATAGACTTGGGTAGGCCCCGCCCCCAGCCTGACTGCACACACAAGGTGACTGTTCCGTGCTAAAGGTGGCCGCATTCTTCAAACGAAATCGACGGAATCGGTGTCATTTTAGTGATACGATGTCGTATGAGCAGTGATCGCCATTTCGGTGCGCCACCTGGGCAGGGTCCCTTAGGTGAACTTTTTCGTGTTCTGATTCCGCCCACTGTCCACGATTGGCTAATATAGATGTGACACCTTGGGATTGGTCAGCAGGATCTAATTTGTGCGTTTATGTTAATGGTATATATCGTAAACATTTAATGTTTGCCATGGAATTTGTGCGTTTCATTAGTGTGTAACTGTTAGTGTCGTGTAAATTGTTGGCTTCCCTGTCTGTGTTGTTGCTGGTATTAAACCAAAAGTGGCTGTTTAATAAAAGAGAGACTTCCATTTTTAAGAGCTGTCATCTCCATCTTTAAAATGACTCGCACACCCGGCACAGTATGTCTGCTTGTGCTCTGTACACGAGTCTGCAGCATCGAAAACATGCTGCCCCCTCTAAGGTTGTGGCGTGACACAGAACGAACAAGGTGGCAGGATCGTTTCAAATATGCAGTTTGAAAGATGAGAGATTGTTCTTGCTGACGTGTTCAGTATCGGTTTTGCGGATGTTTGAATCGTGCGGCTACCTTACCAATAGCACGTTGTGACAGTATCTCATGTTGAAGACATAAGGAACCATTTTATTTAGTCTTTGATACTGGTTCTTAAAAAGTCCTTATCTCCCCTGAAGAAGGTCAGTTATCAATTTCAAGAAAAAAAATATAACATTCTGCTCAATACTGTCACTGATTATTTGCATTTTGATTTTTCCCTCCAGTTTCCTGGGGAAATCCTGCAGCTCCATTTTTAGTCTAGCCCACAGACAATTTGCTAAATAATTGTTTGCTTTAGTGATGCACCGAAATTTCAGCAACCGAAAATATTCACCTTAAAAAGTTGAAACACTTTTTGAAGCCTGAATTTGTTAACTGAAATTGTGGCATTTAACATTACGGGCTCTATTTTGACGATCTAACGCAAAGCACAAAGTGGAACGAACAGTTATGGGCGTGTTCAAATCCATTTCCCTATTTTGACGGCGGAAAAACCAGACTTACCGTCAGCGCAAGGCAGTAAGAGGGTTGTCCTAACTGTCTTAATTATTCAGAGGTGTGATTTGGGCGTAACATGCAGTGAACCAATCGGAACGGTGCGTCACCTCACCTTTACAAGGCAGTGGCGCATGATTTACTGCGGATTGTTATTCCAGTGGCGCATTTGCCCGGCAAACCATATCGCTTTTCTGGTGAGGAAACGGACGTGCTCGTGCGTGAGGTGAAAAGGCGTGAGCACGTGATATACGGCAGCACCTCCGTCGCACCAAGCCTTTCGAGGTGAAGCAGGCATTGGATGAGGTAGCGGCGTGTCCGCGCACGCATGGTGTGAAAATGAGCATTGCGCTGGTACGGTGCATCCCCTGTGTGTTTGGTATGATTATAGTACAGCACAGTCATTCGTGTTGCTTGCTTTGTCCTCCTGTCTCCACAGGAAGGAGTGCCATAGCACCCCCTACTGGTGACCCGCCTGACATGGAAGCCAATAGTCCCCAGTCTGGGGCCCTGGAGGAGAGTCTGGTGCCGGCACGGTCCCGAGGAGGGCGGGAGGATTCTGTGGACAGCAGCACGTTATTGGTGGTGCCAGACACACCCACTGATGATTTCCCACCCCCCATCAGCTCCACCGTGTAGATGAGAGAGGGAGAGAGAGAGAGAGACGGAGGCAGACAGAACTGTCTGGCATTTGAGTTGGAGAAGAATTGAGTGGGATGTCTTTTTACAGAAAGAGGGATCTGAAAATGCTCTATCGGTCTGAGTCCATTTCTTATTCTCTGCTAAGAAAGATCATGCTTCTGATGCGTGACCTGAGGGGTGGCTGTCCAGCCAAAGACCCACATTGCACCAGACGCCTCTCGAGAAGGAAGTGTGCCGAGCAAAATGGCTGAACTCAAAAGTGGCATGAGGACCGACAGACGGGACCCGTCCAGCAGAGGAGTTGACTGCCTGACAGCTGTCACACCTTCCAGATGGGTCGTGCCAAATTTGTCATGGATTACTGATGGGAGGGGCCCCCTCACAGGAGTTTTGTCTCCAGACGGACTTTTGGGAACTTTAAATAGAGGCCCTTCTAGCCAAAGCTAAGAAACGCCGACACTGATCTCCTCACCTTCAGTGCTCCCACATTTTTGATGTTGTGGCCCTTTCGTCACTCGAGGTGACACTCATGTTGAACTGGTTGTCCGTGCTTCTGGGATGGTGCTGGACAAGTGACAGCATACAGATCCAAGAGTGTCTCTCTGTTCAGCTTTAGCTTTAGTTTAATCTTCGTAGGTGTTATCCGGAGAGGGGACTTTGATAAAAATAACCCGGAACAATGGAGAGATATAAAATAGGATTATTTGCATCCTCAAGACTTTTATATCCTCTGTATAACTACCATTTCTGGAATTTTTTAAATAGACTTTATAACATCTATACAAAAACCATTCATAAAGTAGTGTTTACTGGCCTCTTGCTTTATATTTCACGTTTTCCAAGAGGGATAAGGCAGAGTGTGTGAATGTGATAATGGTGAACGTGGTGAATTTTGTGCTTCTTGAGCAGAGGTTCTGAATCGTGTTCTCAGTTCAACAGCCTTGCAGCGATGACTAAATTGAGCTTTTCCGAAAAAGTATTGTTTGGGTGGGGGTTTGCTGGTTGGGGGTATTAAACTGAAAGGTAATATGAAATGGAACATGGGCACTGTCATATGGTACCAGGTGTTGTTCGTGTGTGTCTGTGTGTGTGTGAGAGAGAGAGAGAAAATTACACTTTCAAGTCTGGGCTCGCTAATTCTCTGCACCTCCTGTGTCCTGCGGTTTGTGTGGAGCAAGGGGAGCCCAGGAGCAGGGAGATTTCCCCAATTTCATTTCTGTAGCTTCTCTAGTAGTTGTGAAATTGCACGACGGTCATCCTGACATTGTCCCTGCGCTTTCTTTCCCGAAATTTGATCTATCTTGCGCGATCGGCGCCTCTGAAATGTGGATCCAACTACAGCCACGTTGTGAATTTGGAAAGCCGTACCCAGAGCAGCCCTATTGCCTTTCTCGAATAACCGAGCACTTTAAAGGTCGCGGGGCAATGGAGAGATGTGAGAAGCAGTTCCCTCCCGCCCTCTGGTGTCGAGTCACGGTTCAGCTGATACGCCTCGGGGCTTGGGCACTGACAGATCCGCGTCAGCCTGTTTCAGTTTGTGGGGCTGTCTCCGTACGAATGACATTGAAAGCACAACATGATCATTTGTGTCATTTATTTAATCTGTCCGCCTTTTTCTTTTGTTGGGTGTAGTGTGTTAGTCATTTCAGCGTTGACAATCTTATGCAGAGCATCGTTTTTACTGTTTTACGGAACCTTTTTAAAAAGACATTTAAGCGCTTTAATAAAACGATTCCTCCTTCGCTGAGATCAGTCGAGTTCTCGACGTACCAGGAACTAAGGAGCGCATCGGACGCGCTGCAGCGGCGCAGGAAAAACGGATCGTGCTGGGTGCGGAGACCTCATTTTATTTTTTTGATTACCTGACATTCTGGTTCTGTCATTTGGCCCTGCTGAGTGATTTGAAAGCATCTTGTCCCTAAGAAACGCAAGCTTTGGTTTTTGTTTTAGTAACGCCTACCACAGTTCGTCTAGTACTTTTGTTTATAGTTTGCAAAAACAACTGGTGGTAGAAATCTTTGTCCAAGAAAGACGCCTGTAGGATCATACATTTTATAATGTGTTATTCTGCACATTTGAAATTCCCCCTCCACGCGGCATCGTGTTTTCACATTAAGAATCAGCTGTACATGTAATCAAATGCCAAATAAATTATACCATGAAGGACAAGGTTGTTTTGCGTTTATATGTCTTCGAAATAATCAACGTTCATTCTTTGTGCTGGTTTTTAGTTATGTTTTTCTTATGAACAATATTAACTTAGACTGTTTCTCATCTGATTAATATTGGAGTTCATGTTTATCATGTCCGCATGTTAATCCGATAAGGATTACTGGTTTATACTGGACCATGTTTATGCGAAAGACTGAGGCGCTGTCTCTCCAGCGGAAATCCCTCCCGACGAGCAAGAGGCTCCCCTTCAGTATCACCTGAAAGTGATATTAATTCCACAGAAGTCCGCCCCCACTCCAAAATAAAAACTAACCATTTTGTAAAAGGCAGCTTGGAGGTCTGCTATGTTCTGAGTGCTGCCAAGTCCATGCATGAATTCTGCCGAACAAAGGAAGTTTTCAGTAATTACCCCGTTTACCGTGGCACACTTAGAATGCGATAGCCTACTCAAATGATCGTAATATAATGGAACAATTTCCGTCACTACGGTGAGGGGAATCAGACATCTGGTGTACGGGATACTGGGGCTAAAAGTCAGAGGGGCAGGATGTCACAGTGATTTATTGTGCGAGAAATAACGTTGCCGCATATGGAGGGCCAAGAGTGCCAAAATTAAATAAATAAATACATCAATAATAAATTAATTCAATGTGTCACAAATGATTCAGAATGGCAAATAAAAACATTAATTAAATGTGTCATGAATTATATACAATTGGGAATAAAAACATCATTAATTGTCATGAATTATTTAAAATATGACATAAAAACATTACAGACGCTCCTCTACTTACGAACTTTTAACTTACGAACTTCCAGACATACGAACAAAGAGGACTGTAAGTCCAAATTATGTTCACTGGGCTCCCGTTTCCTTTCCACATCATTTTTTTTTCTGTGCGCCAATTCCGCCAAGTACGATTTCTGGCCGCTACTCCCGCCGCGCAGCAGCGTAACGTGCGTATTCCCAGAATCCTAGTTCTATATATACTTGCGTATACCCTTAAAATGATATTGAATAACGACTTACGAACATTTCAAATTACAAACGGCCGTTCGGAACGTATCTCATTCGTAAGTTGAGAAGTGTCTGTATTTATTAATTTAATGTGATATATAATAATTTCACTATTTAATTTTGGCACTTTCAGCACATCATGAATTAATTTTATTTGTCAGTCTGACCCATCAAACTCAGTAGGCGGGACTATCGCTGTTCGGCTCAAGCTAATTGGCAGGCAGAACCAGCATGTTTCTAAAGATACAGCCAACCGCCTTGCATAGATTGCCGTTAGTCCCGCCAACTCATTTTGATGGCTCAGACTGACAGATTAAATTAATTCATTGTGCCAAAAGTGCCAAATTTAAATAAATAGTGAAAAAATTATATATGACATCTCTCTATGTAGGCTACTTGTATATAATAGAGATGACAATAAAGTTTACTTTGACTTTGAAATTAATAATGTTTTTATTTCACATTTTTAAAAATTCATGACATTTCATTAATTGTTTTATTACGCATTTTAAATCAGTCATGAAATAACTAATTAATTATTGATGCATTTATTTATTTAATATTGGCACACTTGGCCCTCCATAGCCGCATGCCCCCCCGTTGTGAAATCGTCAAGTGGTTGGCTTTCATGAGACAACACACCGACGTTACTGCATATTTTACAATTTAAATCTCGATTTTATTCTGTACAAAAACTTACTTTTTGATAAATTGTAAAACTAGTTCATATTTATAACAGAGGAAAATGTTCAGCTTTTATATGTAAATAACTCATCCAATGAGCGTAAGTCATAATAGCATTGTACTTGAAATGAGCATGAATGTCAAAAATTGTCATATTCTAATATGATACGTTATTTCATCGACACTATGTTGGCCATCTGAGGACATAAATGAAATGTATTTGAATGATTTGTATTTCATGTTGCCAATTTATTGCAAATCCGTTATTGCCCTGTGTATTATTTTAATATTGTCTCTCCTACTATTCTGGAAAGATACCCCAGGTTTGCAGTTTCTTGACATAATTGTACATCAGGTGTTTGCATATTTCTTGGCGAATAAGCTGTTCAATTACATTCATCCAATTTACAAACTCTTGCTGAATAGTCCTGAGGACCTGGACCACCCATTGTAATTATCGTATTTATAGCAATCTCCAATAATTTTAAGCTTTGCACGCCGATATATTTCTGAAACATAAAATTGATCTTCAGGTAAGCAGAACAAGTGGCATGGTGGTGCAGTGGTTAGCGTTGTTGCTTCACACTTCTGGCAGCCAGGTTCGAGTCTCTGCCTGGGTCACATGTGTGTGGAGTTTGCATGTTCTCCCCATGTCATCGTGGGGTTTTCTCCAGGTACTCTGGTGTCCCCCCACACACAGTCCATGCTAAGGCTAATTGGTGTTACCAAATTGCCCAATGGTGTGTGAGTGTGCTCTGTGATGGGCTGGGTTGTTCCCTGCCTTGTGCTTGTAGCCTCCAGGATTGGCTCTGGACCCCCCCACAACCCAGAAGGATAAGCAGTTTGGAAAATAGACGGATGGAGGTAAGTAGAGCAGAGTTTCTGTTTACAAAAAAAATAGTAATTTCCAGAACCACACAGCATCCTACCCTGGGGCGCGTGCTGGGTTTGCAAATGCAGTGACGGTTAGAACCCATGCGGTGCCCTTGCCTTACACACCCAAATGAAACAACGTTCTATCATTGTGGGGTGGCGTCCATTAGGCCCAATTTCTTCAGGTTGAAATGTCCAACCTTAATTACATTGTGACACTAGTCACATTTATTTGGATTATATAGATTAATTAATTGCACTTCAGCTATTGTACACCTTGTTTTCCCATGACACACCCATGGCAAGTCAGTCTTTCCTTTACGCTGCTGGTCCTAACATCAGAATCTCAGAAACTGAAAGTAATGAAACGTATGATTCTTTTAAATACACTACCATTAATCAGACTGTAATACTTTTAGGTATTTCTACTATAATCACTGTAATTTAATTTTGTGATACCTTATTTACAAAGTGTATGTTCCTGAAACATATAAAAGCATAAAACAATAGTCTTTGAAAGCAATGTATGGACTACAAAAGTAAATGCATTGTCGTTTCATACCAAAACATATTCTAATACGTCATATTACACATGCAGCGTGTTATAGGGTGAATTCAGGCGAATTGGGGCATTATTTGCCATTTTGATTTCTACTGCCCATTGAACCACTAACCTCATGTAATTAACCCACATAGATACCTTTCTGCAATCCTTAATATTGTTTTGCTATCTCATCAAAAGAAGGGATGAAATTTCTTGCTTATAGTAACCGTGAAACAGGACTAAACATTCCATTCACCTGTATGGGAATGTGGGGCAGGTGTTTATTCACTGCATCAAAACGGAATAATTTTACTAAGATTTATATGACGAGTTTAATGCACGCGTGCAAATCAAAGGCAGCTGAACATTATTCGTTAATCTGATTTTAAAATCAAAAATAGAAAAACTCACAATCAATTAGATTTTATTTTGGATTTTGTTTTGTAGAAAATACTAATAACCATTACATGTAAAGCTCACCCTAACAGTAAAAACAGTAAAAAAAATAAAATAGATTTTATTGTAAAGGTCGCCGGTTCCAACCCAGCTTCAGCACGTCTGCAGGTCCTTGAGCCAGACCTTTAACCTTTAACCCCCAGCTCCCTGGGCCTGCTACAGGTGGCTGCCCTTTGAAGACAACTTACTCTACCAAAAAGAGCAAGTTGAGGGAGGCGTAAAGACAATTTCCCCACGGGGATCAATAAAGTATTGATTATTATTATTATTATTATTATTAAAATATTCTATTCCACTGTCTGTCGACTTCTTAAAATATTGCAATACCCTAACAAACAGAGCTTCAGGCTTCTTCATTCCCAGGCTTTGATTTTATTTCTTGAAGCCTTCCCTTTTCCTTTTGAGAGACCCTGGATGCCATTTTCTGTTGCATATTGAAAAGCCTATACATCTGTATGCCTGGCTTTCTCATTACAC